CCAGGGGAATTCCTCCTCCTCCTCGGGTTTGTTTTGGTGAAAGTGTGTCATTTTCAAAGTAACGTATGCAAACAAATGCAGTCGTCCCCAAACACTCCTCCTTTCACTGCGAACAGAACAGCTCGGCTGACTCAGAGGTGGATTACAACCCGGAGAGGCAAACTCCACTCTCGGTTCTTGCCCGTGTGAATCCCAGTCTGGGGGCGGCGTAATTCCAGATTTACTTCTAGGAAAATGACTTGTAGTACTGGCCCTTTGGTAAATAATGACTCTTGATTTAATAACTCCCACCAGCCCTGCAGGAGACCTCGCTTCCGAGGGAGTTAATAGAAAGAGATCTTTCCTAACATCTGTTTTCCCAAGTTTGCCGCCTTGCCAGCCCGTGTCCGGGAAGCGGCGCGCGGGGAGGGAAGTGGGGAAGGGAAACATCTGGAGTCTCTGCTCCGAGCGCGGTGGAAACTCCCCCTGCACGACATAGGACGGGAATAGCAGTGCTGTTGGTTTGCTCAGGTGACATGAAACCCAGGTCTGTGGTGTCCTTACCTGGGTTGTGTTTTCAGCCTTTTGCTTTCCCTCCCAAAAACCTTCCCGTGCACAAAATCAGAACTTCTCTTACACCTCCGCTGCCCAGAGTTGCAGATGGCAAAGCTGTTGCACCCAGAGTAGAGTGACAGGGATGCTAATTGTTACATGGACTGTAAGATTTCGGGAGGCAATGCGTCCTCTAGGACTGGGAGAGCAGGAGGGAGCTTCGACACGGTGATTCCCGCCTGGCAGATCCCTCCCGAAGGCAGAAATTTATTCACCGACTTATTCTCCCTGCGAGGTGAGTGTCTGTGAACAGATTAACTTCCTCTGCTTCCTTTGGAAACTATTTGCCGTGCTGCTGGGGATTAATTTTTGGAGTGGGGATTGTACCTGAGCAGCTGGTGAGAGACACGAGGTCTGGACTGGGCGGATCCGGCCGTGGTGCTCCTGGTGCTGCGCTCGGCGCGTGCTGGCTGCTCGCTCCCGACTGCGGGAGTGGGATCGCTGATGCGAATATCTGATTCTACCCATCCCCTGTTTGGTTTGGTACATGTTTTCCTAAGATCTGCCAGGAAAACCCGTGTCCCTGCCCCATGCCCAACCTCAACCAGGTCCCTGGAGTGCCCGGGAGCAGGGACCCGGCACCGCAGCTGCCAGGCAGCAGCGTGACAGGGAGGTGACAATGACATCCTCCTTTTAAACCTTGCCTGCTTTTTGCTTCTCTCCCTCTTTTTTGTTTCATCTCTGCCTCTCAGAAAAGCCATTTAAATGCAATTCCATTCTTAAAACCTCTCCCTCATGCATGCCTAATGAACGTCAGGCAGAGGCGCCGGCAAGGGGCCCGAGCGGGATCCAATCTCACCGAGTGTCGACAAGTCATTTGGAAGAAGCCCTGGGAGCGCGCCCGGTTTTATTACAGCGTAATTAGAAATAAAATCTTGTTGCAAGAGGAGAATGAGAGATGGGTGTTAATCCTGTAACAGGAAGAGATGAAGCCGTGCTTATAAAGGAGATTAAGGAGGGGAGGCGGAAAGCCCGTCACGACTCCCCGACTTCCACCCCTCCTCTGCTGTTTCCCCCTCTCTGGCTCCACAGCTTCCAGCAGCAGCAGGCACGTCCCTGCCTGCATCCCTGGCATCCCTGCCCGCGTCCCTGCCCGCATCCCTGCCCACAGCCAGGAAGGGGCTTGCATCAGGGCAGCATTAATTTCGGGATGGAGGTTTCTGAGGTGCAGAGCTCTCTCCAAGCCAAGGGCTGCTCTTCCTAGAGTGAGGAGGAAGAGAGGGAGCCCTCGGTGCAGAGCCTGACCCTCTCGCTCAGCTGGCATCAGTTGTGTTACAGATGCCCACCAACCTCCAAGGTGGGAGCTCTGGGCTGATGGGCTCCGCGGGAGGACGTGCTGCCTTGGAAAGGGCTGGGGAGTGGGGCCTGGCACCTCCCCTGGGACCCCACTGCAGGCAAACATGGAAATAAATCTGTCAGATATCACGCGCTCTTATTAAATTTGCATTGGGCTGGAGTCGCGGTTCCTCTTTAACATCTCGGGGATGGATGGATGGATCTTTAATCTCGGCGCCCAATCCAGGTCCCCTCTGCTTGCAGCGTTGGCTGTGGCACCAAGCTGGGCTCAGCCTGCTGAGATGAAAGGCAGCTCTGGTGTGTGCCCACCGCTTTCCAGCCCCCGCATCCCACCGCTCGTGCCGTCTTGGGGAGGGAGGTGCCTGCAATCCATCTGGCAGCTGGCAGGGAAAGGGGGCAAACCGTGCCTTGCCGTGCTGCAGTGTGGGCAGGAGTTTCCCTGCTGACTGGGTTTGCTGGTCCCCAGGCGAGCCCCATCCCAGGCAAATGGCATCCTGCAACAGCAGCCGCAGCAGGCAAGTGCCGTGACAGCAGAAAATCCCAGGCTTTGTTCTTTGGGGCTTCCCCCTCCGTGCCTTCCCCCGGGGAGGCGTTTGTCACTTTAAACGTGGCCAGAAATAGCACCAAACAGTTATTGGATTTGTCCGAGATGCCTTGGGATGCATACGCTCCAAGTATGGCTAATTCATAAAGGCTGGCACCTATTGATTCTCCAGCAGTTAAAATAGACTGCGTAAGGAAATATTGGCCCCGGAGTACCAAGGGAAAGTTATCTCATTAGTCTTGCGAACTATAAAACGCGCTCCCTCCTGAAGCCCTGACCCCATTGTTTTTATAAATCTATACCGGGCAGAGCAGTAAGCTGGTAACCTATATTGACTGTAATTTTTCTCTGGAAATTGGAAGGCCCTTGGGACGGATGCTGGAGTTTCGTGGGCACCGCAGGCAGCTGGATGCAGGAGTAGATCTCTGTGGCAGCGAATACGTGTGTGTGAATACGCAGTGGAGAGATCCTCCTGGTGGTTGCTGTGCAGGAGAGCCCCCCTCTCACCCTCCTGCTTTTCCCTGGGCGAGGGGCAAGCTGATGGGGCTCTTGGCTACCCTGCTGCTCTCTTCCAGGGGTGGGCGAGCAGCGCGGGGGGCTTTGCCGAGGCGTTTCCAAAGGCAGTGGCTCAGGTCTAGCTGGAAGAGTTATTAGAGGCACATCACTCCGGTCTGACCACAGATGTACTTAATCCTCCGCTTCTCGGAAAGCTTTTCCATCTCCTGGCAGGCAGAAAGATCTGATTTTACTCGGCGACCTTCAACGTTAATCTCACGAGCAAACTCAGCAATAAGTCACATTGGTGAGGTCTCTGTCGGAGCTGTTTACATCAGTTATTGCCCTGCATCTCTTCCTTGAACCACTGTAATGCTCCTCAGTGGAGTTATTTGCCCCTTTCTGGAAAAAAAAACCCAAACAAGAATGGAAACTGCACTGTCAGTTGCACAGACCTTACATTTAATGTAGCAGCATCCTAAAAGCCGTGGTTCCAAGGGGGCAGACGCCTCCTGCTGCTGCACGGTAGACAAGTGGCTACTAAAACCTGCAGATTTTCTGCCCGTCCCTGTCTCTGTGGCTGATGCTCTGGATGGAGCCCCGTGTTGGAGGCTTGATCTGCAGTGCGGGGGCTGTGAGAGCTGGGGAGCTCCCACAGGCTGGGGGACAAGGGCAGCATGGGGACAGCCACCCCCATGCCCATGGCGCTCCGTGGGGCTCCGACTCCTTCTGCCGCTGCTTGCAGAGAGACTCTGCACAGGGCTGCCAGCCCCGCGGTCGCATCTGCCTCCTGTTAGCTGCTGCCAGGTTTGCATTTCATTAAGGTTGCTATTTCTTTGCTGTTTAGAGTCCCTGGTGCTCTCATCTCAAGGAATTAAGAGTCCAACAGGCACATGTAGCGAAGCTGCAGCTGGAAGAGGGTAGTGCCAGCAGAGTTCGGGGCTGCCATCGCCTTGGCTCGTGCCACGGATGTGCTCCGGTTCCCTGGGTGAAGAGCTCTGTCCTCTGCCAGCCTCTCCCCTCTGATGCTTGCAGGGAGAGGCTTTGCCCGGGAGCGGGGAGCCAGGCTGCTCTGGGACCTTGTGCCTTTAGTTCCCAAATTCCAGCCATGTTTCTCCTGCTCTTATGGCTTCAACTGCAGCGCTTTCCTCCACCTACATTGAGAATATCCAGGTGCTTCCAAAAGAAGAACAAACAGTTGATTCTCCTCAGCTCCTGGGTCCTGGTTTAACAAGTATTTTGTCATTTGCAGCCGTTGCTGCTTTACAGACCAGTTTAAAGGTTTCAGCTCGGAACATTCAGCTCTCCTGATGTCCTTCTGCTTCTCTGCAGTCGCTGTGTTTGGCAGGGGGTGGTTTGGCTGGCAGCACGGTGCAGCTGAGCAGATGGACCACCCTGTCCCAGCTGAGCCTCGGTGGCGGCTGGTGCTGGAATAAACCCCAAAGGCCCTGTGGAAACTGGGGCTGAAGGCTCCTCTGGCTGCCAGCACTGGCTGTGGGCAGGGTGAAGGTTTTCCAGGTGGGCAGGGGATCTTCTCTCCAGTGCCTCCACTTGCAGCCACCAAATCGTGCCGTGGCACAGGTCTTTTTATTAATATTAATTACTCTTAATATTCCTGATGAATTATAGGAGTTATGCTGGCTTTAAAAGCAAGTCAAAGACTTCTTTCTCATGTGCACTAGTATGTGCCAGGCTCCAAAACCTGGGGGCTGGAGGGGGCTGTGCTGCCCTGCCTGCCCTCCTGCCATCCCCCCAGCACTCAAATAGCAGCTCCAGCCCTTATTTGTTTTCACACGCTTCTAAGTTGAGCTAATTATTAACTCAGCGGGACGGATTCACTTTTAATTGCCGCGTTGCTATGCAGCACATGGTGATGGTGTGATGGAGCATCGTGCCACACACCCTCCTCACCCTCAGGAGGAAGGACCCGCTTTCCCTGCTGGGCTCCTGCCCACAGCTCTGGTCCATGCCCTGAGTCCAGTGGCTCTGCCTGATCCCGGTGCTGAGAGCCCGGGAGATGCTGTGCTGGGTCAGGGCTGGCTCGCTCACCCTTCTCCTCCCTTTGTGTCTCCAGAAAATAGGTTTTTTATTACTTCTTACGGAGGTTTGTACATATCGGACGTGCAGAAGGAAGATGCCTTGTCCACCTACAGGTGTATCACCAAGCACAAGTACAGCGGGGAGACGCGGCAGAGCAACGGAGCCCGGCTCTCGGTCTCAGGTGAGCACACAACACCGGCAACGGGGAGCCCCGGCACAGCTCCTGTGCCCATGAGCATGCCAGCCCTGCCTGCACGCGGGACATCCCGGTGCAGGGTTGGGATGTCCCATCAGGGCCACACAGGGGGTTTGTGCTGCCTCTCGTGTGCCCCCAAACACGCAGACCCCCCGGTGTTGGCCGCGGCAAGCAGCAGTGCCGCGCAGCACCCCGAGCGAGAGGCGATGGGGTGCGACGCGATGCGATGTGACAGCCCGCGATGTGAGCAGCCTGACGCGATGTGACCAACGTGCAAGCGATACTGCGGCGCAGGCACTGCAGTCCGTAGTGCCGGGTGCCTCGGGGTGCTCCTGGCTCCGCTCGCTGCCCAAATGACTCCGCTCGGGAGGGAGTTCACCCGACTCGCAGCCGCAGCACCGCTCCCACCGCCGCTCTCTGCCATATGCTTCTCCCATCCTGGGGTGTGCGGGCTGTGGCTCCCGCGCCAGCTCCTCCAATTAACCCCACAGAGGTGGGGAAAGGGTCCAGGATGGCTGGGCTGGGGTTCATCTCACCTTGCCACAGCTTCTTGAGGCCAGAGGGTCCTGGTCACAAAATTGGGGAAGAGTTTAGAGGGGAAGGGTATGAGGAGACGCTGAGGTCACTTGGTTTGTTCAGCCTGGAGAAGAGGAGACTGAGAGGAGATCTCATCATGGTCTAGAACTTCCTCCCAAGGGGAAGAGGAGGGGCAGGCACTGATCTCTTCTCTCTGGCCACCAATGAATGCCAAGAGCAGAGGAAATGGCAGGAAGATGTGGCAAGGGGGGGGGAGGTTGACCATGAGGAAAAGGTTCTTGAGGCAGAGGGTGGTGGAGCACTGGAACAGGCTCCCCAGGGAGGTGCTCATGGCACCAAGCCTGACAAGATTCCAGCAGCATTTGGCCAAGGCCCTCAGGGACATGGTGTGAATGTTGGGCTTGTCCTGTGCAGGGACAGGAGTTGGACTCCAGCATCCTGGTGGGTCCAACTCACAACATTCAATGATTCAGTGATCCAGATCCACATTCCCCAAGGATCACAGGCAGCTGCCGGGTGTATCATCCCCTCTCCACGTGCGTTCGATCTGGCCCAGTCCCCTCCTGGTCACTGTCATTATTTACACGTCACAGCAGTTTACTTCTGCTTGGGAATAATGAAAGAGGTTTCTTTCCCCTGGAATTTAATTTCACGCCTGAGACTTGGTGATTAATTTTCTCCTTTCCCAGCTGCCTGATGGGCCCTTTTGCTTGTAAATTTTGAAATGTGCCACAGAATTTGTGTATTTTGCACCAATTAGGTGTCACCTTGAGTAATTCCTCCGGTGCTGAGTTTATTCGTCCCATCAGCTCCTGAGATGTGTTTTCCCTCCCACTGTCCTGGCTGCGGTGGAGGAGGTGGCTGGTGTCCTGCGCTCCTGCCCAGCCGAGCTGCTGGCTCACAGGGACAGGGAGAGCGGAGAGCCGCTCTCTCCCGGCTGATGCTGAGAGGCCACGGTGCTACTGGTGTCACCATGCCACTGGCTCTCCCGGTGTCCCCACAGTGAGAAGCCTCACCTTCTTCTCTTCTCCGGGTGAGCCTGTTTCTTCTTCCATCCCAGACCCGGCAGAGTCCATCCCCACCATGCTAGACAGCTTCCAGTCCAGGGAGGTGAAGGCGGGCCGGCCGCTGGAGCTGCCCTGCATCGCCTCGGGCAACACCAACCCCGCCATCCGGTGGATCAAGGACGGGCGCCCGCTCCCCGCCGACAGCCGCTGGACCAAGCGCATCACGGGCCTGACCATCAGCGACCTGCGCGTGGAGGACAGCGGGACCTACATCTGCGAGGTGACCAACACCTTCGGGTCCGCAGAGGTCACGGGGACCCTCACAGTCATAGGTGAGAGCTGGCGGGCAGGAGCGGGGCACGGCGGCGGGGAGACCTCCATCCTGCTGCCTGGGGCTTGGCTTGATAAAGCCTTCTGGAATGGAAACCTTTATAAGCAGCAGGCCTCTGGGGTTTGTAGAGCCCTGCAGATGACGAGCCCTGTACGTCAGCGTGTGCGATGCGCTCGGAGCGCTTGCAGGAGGCTCGTCGTGTGGCACGCAGGCGTCCCCTGATTTACCGCCTCAGTCAGGGAGGGGACAGGGGCTCCAGAAAATTCAGAGCAGTGCCGGGGGCTGTAAATTACTGGATGGCAACATCGGGTTTATGTTGGGTGCCTCTGCACTTTGTTTTGTTGATTTACATAAAAGAAGCTCCAGCCAAACAGTAAATACCATCCGGGCAGGCCAAGTATTTACCGTGTGCTTTGTTCCTGGGGGTTCCTCCTCTCACTGGCCTCCTGGAGGTACTGGAGCTGCTGGGGCTGGGACTGGTACACACCATACCTGCCTTCCCTGTAGCAGCACTGTGGCCAGCACACTGGCAATCTGCCGAGAGCAGTGCTGGCATGTCCCCAGCTCAGTGCTGTCCCCATACCACACCAGCCACGTCTTCTTCCAGCCATCCTGCCACCTCCCCGATGGCTCCCGCTGGCCGGGGGCCCGGGGCTAATGCTAACAGCAGAGGGGGTTGGCAGGGAGGACC